TGTTGGAGCACCAGCAGCAAGCTGACGACGACGAACAGGTCACTGAACAGATGATCTAGCGTCATCACGAGGTAAGCCTGTGCAACCGACGAGTGAGCCACTGCGAGATGCGCACACGGGCGACAGAGTGACTGCGAGGGGCTAAAAGAGCGACGGATGTCCTAGCGACATCAAGCGGGAACGAGGTGGGCAACACGGAGGGTCAAGAAAGCGGCTCGGACTTCGACGAGATGGAGTTGACGAGGCGGCCTCCTGTGTGCATGTAGTGTCAGTCAGATGTTAGTTTGGATTTTAAGCGGCCCACCGACTCAATCACTTTCCAACTCACCGCCTCGAGCTCAAGCGTCTTCTCCGCCTCTTCGCAAGCCTGCTTCCTCCAAGTCAACTTCTGACAGTGGCTCGCACTCTACCCCTTGCAAAAAGGGCCCTAAAGCGGTCTTCACCCGCGCAACAATTTAGCTGCATCACCAGCTAGAACCTTGCAGCATCCAGACTCAAATGCAGGAGAGTGAATATTATTCGCAGATGCTCCTATAAAAAGTAAACAAAATGTAAGCACAATGGTTTTGACAGATGAGCATAAATACTTACCAATGTAGGTATTTAGAATGGGCTTAACTGCAATAAGCCCATCCAGTAGGTCGCGCGCCTCTAGAAGATTAACGTCGTCGCCTTGTAGCGCAAGAGAAACGGACTCGCAGTCCGAAAGCTCGTTCAAGAGGGCTTTGAGTCGGCTGTGGGTTGCCGGCGAGGTGCCAAGCTCAGGTACAATTATTCCGCCTTTTTAATTTTAATTGTTTCTAATTTAGGTTTTTTTTAGGCTGGTGACGCCGCTTCGACCCGTTCTTCGTCAAGAGACGCGTTGGGGCTCAACGCATGCCATGCTGCGACGGTATTTTGAATTACGTGGCTTTTTGTCCATGGATGACGATGAATTGGCGGAGTTTCTTCCATTCACTGAGTGTCTTGAGTTTCTTCATCAGACGTTGGACTTCGCAGAGGTCGGCCTCGTAGGGGGCCAAAAACGCCTTTAACGCCAAGTTCAAGCGGTGGCTTGCACAGCCAACAAGAGGAACGCCCATCAGATTGGCCCCGCGGTCATCCTCTGGCTCGTTGACAACTGGTGCCATTGACAGCAAGGGTTAGTGCCCACCGCCTTTGATGGAGAAACCGCATAGACGGCGAGGTAGTACTCACTGCCGTTGCTCCACCCGTCAAGCATCAGCCCAAATTCGTTGGGCATCTCGGCACCGATGATGGTCTCCACTTCGCGCGTCACCGCCTCCATGTTGAGACGCAGCGTATCGACAGAGACTGGAGGCAAATTGGTGTAACTGATAATAAAGAAATAGTCAATTAGATAACCTTCGATTTAGACCAAGTAAAATTAAAAATTATAAAACAACTTACCGACGGGTCACCGGATTTTCAACGAATGAGAGGGGGAGGTTTGATTTCACCACCCACTCCAGCCATGCGAAGCGGTTGGATGCCTTCTGTCGAACCCAAGGGATAAATGAGCTGGTGGCTGAAGCGGAGGCACTCTCCATCTCTCTCTCAAACGTCGGATGCTCGTTGCGAACATGGTTTACCAGGTTGGTATACCCTGTTCCGGCAGCCTGCTTGCGGGACCGACCGCAAGCCTTGCATTCGAAGTAGCCGGTAGGGTCGTTGTTGTCATTTACTAGGCGCTTGAAAAAGAACGTAGCCACCTGCTTCGGCAAAAACTTCGCTTGGGGGCGTGCTACTTGCAGAAGCATGTCGGTGGGTGCCATGGTGAGAGGTCGAGGAGCGGTAAGGCTCAATGTAGCTGGAAAATTTACAAATGACAGCAGAGCGATAGTTCGGACTAAAGGCTGTGCTTTCGAATCCACTGGACACTAGAGCATATAAATCTTACAAGGTTAAAAACAATATTCTCTTCATTATGGTATATTATTATGTACTTAGTGATGCGTGGTACAACATAAAAAATAAAATATTGAAGTCTGTCGAGATAAAAAAGTAATTACGGATTCTATTATCTGTGCAGACAAAATCAATAATTTCACGGAAAATACGGAATACATGTAT